GGGAAAGGGGCTGTGGAGGAACAATCGGGCCCTCCCATTGGTGGCGCTTCCACACCTCGCTTGCCTCTTAATGGCTTTCTCAAGGTCACTGGCACTGCCAGGGAGGGATGTTTACACCTGTGGGGGCGAGGTGCCACCCCGCTGCCCAAGAGCCAGACAGGGCAGCCTGGTGAGAGCAGGATGCCGCCCACCGCCATCTGGAGCCCATGGGGAGCCTCCTGTGAAATACACAGCAGAGGTGCCCCCTCCCCAACACCAAGAGGCGGGGCTCACCTTCCTGTTTTACACACGAGGGGCGCTTGCTGCGGGCTGGTGCCCTCACAGTCTGTATCTGTCCAGGAAAGGAAGCCCAAAGCGAAAGAAAGGTTTAAAGAGTTCTGTTTGAGCCAAGGCTGAGGGCCGGACCTGCAAGCAAAATCTCAAAGGATTGAGAAAATGCTCTGAGGAAGAGCAGGTTTGCGGTTCATTTTATACATGAAAATCACAGGGAGAGGTGTGAGGGGGGGGGGTTACAGGAAATCAATTGGTGGGAGGTTAGGGAGGCGGGAGAAAGCAAAGCGGGGAAACGTCTGGGATTGGCTGAAAAGGGAAATGGAGAGACACACACTTCCTTTACGCGGGTGGGTGCAGGGCAGTTCACATTTAGCACACGCAATTTACAGAGGCACGTGGGCAGCAGATAGCAGCGAGGGCTGTTGGGGTCACCTCGCCCTGGCACCGGCTGTTTATCTGGAGGTCTGGAGAAGAGATCACTCTGACATTTCAGAACTGTATTATCCTAGATGCACAGGAACACCAGCCCGGGCTCGCCGACGGTGGGGAGTAGCCTTTTATTCAGTGGCGTACAGGCCTGGGAGCGCCTCCCCCACGACCTGCCCAGCCTGGACTTACTGTCCAGACCATCCTGGGTGGGGCTGTCAGTCCCTGAGCTTGTCAGGCCTGCTCCCTAGTCATGTGTCCAAGGAAAAGAGGTGGCAGTGCTGAGAGCTGGACTTTTCTTCAGCGTTGTCATTGGCCAAATTGTGTCCTCCCCAAATTCGTGTGTTAAAGTCCCCCCACCCCCAGGACTTCAGCGTGTGACCTTACTCAGAATAGGGTCGCTGCCGATGTAATCAGCAAAGATGAAGTCATTTTGGAGTAGGGTGGCCCCCAAGTCCAATATGATGGTGTCAGTGTCAAAATGGGAAATTTGGATACAGATACGCTCAGC